CCCCCCCCCCCCCCCCCCCAAAAAAAAAAACAAGAGCTCATACTATCTCTTTGGGACATATTGTGGAAGATAATATTATAATAATGATCTAATTTAATACAATTATTAAATTAATTATAAATTTTAAAAATTCATTAAAAAATCCTAATAACATTTTCTCTATCCAAAAAAACGGTGGCAACTAATGCAATCATCCAACATAAAAAAAAAAAAAAAAAGACAAAACTCTGGAAAAAGTTAAATAGTGTCCGAGCATCCTAGAAAAGAAGAGGCGTTCCCGTTATTTAACCTTTAGCCGGCGGGCAATGCTGGAAACTAAATAAAATACTATAAGACAAGGGAAGGGTGACTAGATCTTGTTGATAACTGATCAGTCATAATCGAGTTCACGGTCTTTGGATCAAATTATCGGCAATATTTGCTTTTTATTTTATTGTTTAGCATCCGAAACTCTGTCAAAAAATGGAAATATATTGCAAGAGATTGTCTTCATAATCGCTCAGTTGGATTTCATTAGATTTTCATTTGCTAGTGAAGAACTATACATGCTCTCTCTCTCTCAACCATACACACAACTAGCAGGTCTCCGTCCCTCAGACATCATCTACCACGTTAAAGCCATTACCAACTTCGAAGCATTGCTGATCCCATCAATAGTTTGTTTCCTGGAAACTGTTTTTTCCTTAAATTAGTGACAATCGAATTGCGTGTTTTTTGCCTTAATTTAATATATATTGTCAAAAGTTTATGGGTTCTAGAAACTGGTGGAAGCCAATTCAATTTTGTTCTGGTTTTGTTTTGCTTTGAAAAGGCAAAATTGGAATTGGGTTGGTTTGAAAAAACCACAATTTGATTCTGTGGGCGCTTTGCATTTATATAATCTGTGTTTTTTAAATTCGGGTACTTGGGGAATCATTGTGATTGCGGGAAATGGAATCGAATGCGAAGTCAATCGAAGATGTGGTGGAAGAGATTATGAAAATTCACAGATCTCTTCCAACAAGACCTGGAATCGATGAAGTCGAAGCTGCGAAAATTTTGATTCGAAACGTTGAACAAGAAGACCAAGCGAGATTCGAGGCCATTGCAAGCCAAACGAAGAGCAAAGAGGTACCCGAAGAATTGTTCAAGGTTTTGCAAGAAATGCAAAGGAATTTGGGGTATTTGCATAGCAAAGAACAGAAAAGGGAGGCTATAAAACTGTTGGATCTCGAGAATGTTCATACTCTGTTCGACGATTTGATTCAGAGAGCGTCGAAATGCTTATCTCCGACCTCGGCCTCGAGTAATTCTCATTCTAACACTTCAGCTTCATCGAGTAGTTTGTCTTTGAACAATTCGGCTTCCTTTTCTGGCAATAGTTTCAATTCGCCGAGTACTACTACGACTACCACGTCATCGTCTAGCTTGTATTTTGACAAAGAGCATGTGAAAACTTCTGAGATGTATACCAGAGATGATAGTTATTTGAAGAAGGCGAAAGCGACATTTCATGTTGATGTAATTGGGGTTGGACTTCGATCCGGAGATGCTTCGACAACGCCCCAGATTGTGGATTCAACTCTGAAACCAGCTATTGCTTCAGGTAAATTTGATTCACTTTCTGCAAAGGGTTCTGTCCATGTCTCATCCATTTTTGGTCGTTTTCATTGTACCTTTTATGGTGTTTTTCTGTTTTCTGTTTCAAATTTAATAATGGGATGTAAAGACATGGTCGAATTTTGAAGGTATGTTGGTTTCATGTCAAGGACAATGCGTTGTTTTTGTAGGTCAAGATGGTGAGAAAATGAGTTTAATTAAGCTTGCTAGTTTTATTGAAGTCTCTGCGAAGAAAGGAACTTGGGATCTGAATCTTTCAAACAAGTTGATGGACCAAATTGAATGGCTTCCTGATTCAATTGGGAAGCTATCGAGTTTGATCACCTTGAATTTGTCTGAGAACCGAATTGTGGCCTTACCGGCCACGATTGGAGGGCTTTCATCATTGACAAAATTAGACTTGCATTCAAACAGAATCAATGCACTCCCAGAGTCTATAGGAGATCTCCTGAACTTGGTATATCTTGATCTTAGTGGGAACCAGTTGATATCTCTGCCTGCTAGCTTTGGTAGATTAGTCCGGCTTCAGGAGCTTGATTTGAGCTCGAATATGCTCTCTGTGCTCCCCGAATTCATTGGTTCACTCGTCAGTCTCAGGAAATTGAACGTGGAGACTAATAATATTGAAGAAATTCCTCATACCATTGGGCAGTGTTCTTCGCTGAGGGAGCTTCATGCAGACTATAACCGGCTTAAAGCCCTCCCGGAAGCTGTGGGACGAATTGGATCCTTAGAGATTCTGTCTGTGCGTTATAATAACATCTCACAATTGCCTACCACGATGGCATCCCTGTCAAGCTTGAGGGAGCTTAATGTAAGTTTCAATCAGCTTGAGTCCGTACCTGAGAGCTTGTGTTTTGCCACCACACTCGTAAAAATGAACGTTAGCAACAATTTCGCTGATCTGCAATCCCTGCCAAGGTCTATCGGGAACCTTGAGATGCTAGAGGAGTTGGATATTAGTAATAACCAAATTAAATTCCTGCCAGATTCTTTTAGGATGCTAACACAACTACGAGTCTTAAAAGTGGAAGGAAATCCTCTGGAAGTGCCCCCAAATAATATAGCTGAGAAGGGCGCACAGGTAATAGTCCGTGTTTGTACTTCTGTGATTCTGTCCATCCGTTTAATACAAGGCTAACTAAGTTTTGGTACTTCTCAGGCGGTTGTTCATTTCATGGCAGAACTTGTTGCAAAGAAGGACGTCAAGTCACAGCCAGTCAAGCAGAAGAAATCTTGGGCTCAAATATGCTGCTTTTCAAGGTCTAACAAACGGAAGCGCAGTTGGGGAGACTATGTGAAAGCCTGATTTAATGAAGCTCACATGAAACACATGGTATTTCTGCTAGGTATGTTTATCAATCCTCTTTGCGATTACATGCACTCATCTTTTAATCAACTACTTTGTGGCCAGTAGATCAGTGCATTGGAGTCCAAGCCGGCCTTTTTACCTTCATGTATAGTTGATTCGTTTATTACGCACTGAACAGAAGCATTTGTTAAGCATGACCCAACACACACACACATATCCAAACACCTTCTAACATGATTTGATCAGATACCAGAAGAGGTAAGCTCCAAGAAACAGGATAAACAGCATCTTTTTCTGTACCTATAAAGATAACCGAATGCAAGGAATTCAGGTGGAAGCCCTCATGTGCTTTTGTTGTTTATTTTACTGTACAGGAAAATTGAGCTGTCATTGGGTTGGAAGAAAGCTGGGATCTTTGGTGGAACCTTTCCTTCGTACGTTAGAAGTCAGATATGGTTCTGATCTTTGCTTCACCAATTATAAATTTTTTCTTTGAATTCTTTGACTCATCTTCTGTTCTATTTACCTGTATTTCTTTATGTTGTTGATCTAAATGAGATGTAAAGGACCTCAACCAGTAGAAATGGGGGAGACAAATGTTGTATTCAACATCCTTCGGTTTTTATGATGTATGAGTTTACTTTGTTTGCTAATTTTACAGAACTTATTTCTTTTGAAACATAATCTAGTGAAATCTTTTGTCTTCTCGATTTTAGTCTAATTCAGTCAGTTAGCATTACCTGAATTTAGTACCAGTTGCCAATTCTGTATATTGAAGTGAAGGTGCCCCTCTTTGGTGTTGTTGATTTAACACTAAAGGGATATCCCTCTGCCATTTAATTCTGGTATTATCTGACTTCAAACTGGTGTCGTATGAGTTTTCTTATCTAATCAGACCAGGATATTAAATGGTTGTCAATATGTATTCTCTGCTAGCTAGTATGACCTGGACCTTCTGGCTCAACTGTATTTGAGATGGAATCTATTTATGTTTGAAGAGAATTTTGGCTAGACACTTGCCTTAAAAAAGAGAAACAAAAGAATTTGGTAATAGAATGTTAATCAAGCCTTCAAGCTCATCATTTGACCTTTTTTACTATAAAAATAGAAATCAAACTTATAAAATATGATTTCGTGTACCTAATGCAGCGTTGGCTTCTGCTTCCCCCAACAACCCAATGTGGTGGACCACTATACCCTTGTGGAGTAGAAGCTTGCTGAACTCTAGGTGCATTTGATAGCTGTAATTACAATCTGTGCCAAAATCTTACAGTTTGAGATCAGAAACTAGGAGATTAAACATCTGTATGTAAGATTCGTCTTCAGCGATGTTGCCTATGTCTGCTCTGCAGTGGCATAACTACCAAAACCAAGCTGCTGGGAACCAATTATATTCACATCTCATTCTATGTTCATTTGCAGGAATGCCTGCAGGCACACTGTCATTGTATCATTGGGAGATGGAGATTCTTGGTGCTCTTAGAAGTGTTTGATCCCCTGTGCCTTTTCACTCTCTCACCATCAACCCTCAGCCCATCAGCTCTGTCATCTTCAACCTGTTTCATAGCTACACATGGCAAAACACCTATCCGTGGGTTCAAACTTCATTCTGTACCTAAAACACTTGATTATAGCTGAGATTATAAGGCAGTATCAAACTAAAAACCCGTGTAGAACGTAACTGGACTTTGAAATTGTTTGTACTCAAGCTATTCCTTCCAGAACCCTTATTGATGGTGGTGATCCATCTTGGTCCTGCAACTCATATCCTTTTCTAAACTTTTAGGACTAGGTTTTAATTAACTTCTGGTACATAAACATATAACACCGTGAGTACTTTATATCTCTTCTACTAATTCTTGTAGGTAGTAAATCGTCCCACCAGAGGGAGAGAAGACTTATTTTGTTTTTAACTGTTGATATATGCGATGGAGAGGCCCTTTTTATGGTAAAGAAGTATTGTTCTAGTAAGGTATAGGGCCTCTGGACGTGCTGTTTGATGAGATTCATATTGTTCCTGAAAAATAGAATGTTTTAAGTGTTCGTCTACTCCATGAAACATCAAGGTTTAATGTTCAAACTCGAAGATCAAGAGAATGTTTAAATGTTTGTCTATAATTAACAGATTTATTACTTGCGCAACTGAAATTGACGACCTTCCCACCCAGCATACACATGCATAAGAAGGAAGAAGAAAAACAGGATATGAAGAGCATATCTGGTCTATTAAAAATCACATGACCATAGCATGGTGCCCTCAAATTTAGCAAACATTTTCATGATAAAAATAAATGATGATAAGATTTAGTCTCAAAGTCTATTATATGAAAACAGTTATAATATGTTAACTGGGAATGAAGCTCCATTTAATTGGTTATCTTTTACAAGCTGCTTGGTGTTATGCCTGCTAAATTGGATTTTGATCGAATCGTTATTTTTTTCTTGTGTTATAGATTTTTCAAAATGGAGTTTCTACAAGTAATGAAGTAATGCAAGTTATACCTGATTTAGCTTGTACTGGTTTTGTAGGTGGTGCGTTCTAGCTCTTAGGCATCAAATTTGACTTTTATGATTCACACATCCTAATTGCAATAATCTGCTTCCAAACATATATACTTCAAAAGTTTGATAAGATTGCGGCAAATATTTAAAAGATTTTTAGCATCATCCAGAGTTGATTTTGCAAACTATAATCTACTATCGAACTCTTACATTGAGCTGGATAGCATGTTAATTTAGTGGTATAAGAGGGACCATATGTCACATGGTTCGACCTTCATTTCTGCTTTAACTGTCATTTTCTCTCTCACTTTCCTCTATACAGCTCAGCTTGGGGCTGAAAAACTTATTTGTTGGGAGGTATCCATCAGGGGAACTTTTCAGCAATCTGGGCAGTTGTGAGCTCCATCCTCTAAACGCGGTGAATACTTGTGGTGGCCCTATTGTACAGGTGGTTGTCAAATGTCAATGAGGATCGTTCGCTTCTTTTTTTTTTTTTTTCCTGGGTAAGTGGAGATCTGTCACTTGTGAACTGAAAGTCATGGTATCCCCAATTTTGTGCCAAGTGTTTAGATGATATGTGACGTAGCTTCTTAAGATTCCTTCAGGCAAACAAATTGTTAGTAGATTCACTTAAGCCCTCATCGTCTCCGTAATACATTGTGC